TCTTAATGCTTTCAATTAATTGGCCACTAATTGCATGATTGGAAGAATTAGGTTGAAACCGTAAGGGGATGCCTAATAAATAGCTTTTTTTAACAAGTACCATAAATTACATAGACGACTTAGAAAATTAACTTATGTTTTGTGTAGTCTATAATATTTTCCATAAATCTTAATGAGTTCTTAATTATCTAAATCCATAACTAGGAATAGAGTTGGGTTGATGGTAAAAAATAAAACTAATGTAACTCGAAAAAGAATATTGGTGAGGTAAGGGAAAATGACTATCAACATGTTAAGAAAATTAGGATTAACAAGCTAGAAGGATTTGGGTGAGATTAGCTAGGTGAAATCGGTATCCTAGTGCTTTATTATCTTATTTTCATATGTTACGTTATTTACTTACTCTTAATTTACTTGTTTACTTATATTTTTGTCATCATAATCCTTTTATTGTTTAATTTAAATATAATTAGGCATAAATCACTCTAATACTTAATTAATTAACTCGATCCCTATTGGAACGATACTATACGTACTACTATATTAATTTGAGCAATATTGCCCTTTTACAATTATTCACATCAAATTTTGGCACCACTTCTGAGGATCGAGCTAGTCTGTTAATAATATTATGATTTATTAAATATCCAAAGTACAACTAGAAAATAAATCACACTAATATTAACAGACTAAGCCAATCCCTGACAATGGCACTGAAATTTGATGTGAATAATTGTAAGAGGACAATATCTCTCAAATTAATATAGTAGTAAGTAGAGTATTGTTCCAACAACGATCAAGTTAATCTATTAAGTACAATGGTGATTTATGCCTAATTATATTTGAATCAAACAATAAAATGATTATGATGACAAAAATATAACTAAGAAAGTAAATTAAGAGTAAGTAAACAATGTAACAAATGAAAATAAGGATAATAAAGCACTACGACACCGATTTCACTACTAGCTAATCCAAGCCCAAATCCTTCTAGATTGTTAATCCTAAGTTTGCTATAACAAGTTGATATAGTCATTTTCCCTTCACAAATAGTCTATTTTGTGTTGTATTAGTTGTATTCTTTACCCTCATCAACCCACTGTATAGTTATGGATTTAGATGGTTGCATTAAGATTTATGGAAAATATTAAAAACTATACAAACCATATTCTGAGTCAGTTATGTAATTTATGGTACTTGTTACAAGAAGCTATTTATTAGACATCTCCTTCTGGTCTCAACCTAATTCTTCTAATCATGCAATTAGTGGCCAATTAATTGAAAGCATTAAGAATGATAACAAGCACTCAACATGCATAGATAAATAGAATTAACAACATCAAAGAATTTAAGTATTCATAGCTAGGCTACATCGTAGCCCTAATAAAAAGAAATTAGTTCACGAATGACTTACTGAGAAACATGATGATTGATGAAGACATGGAATTCCTCAAGTAGAACGCCAAGGTTGTGCAAGCTCTCTTCTTGTTCTCCTAAAGGTATTTCGACTATGGATATGAATGTGTAGGAATTGGATGGTGTTCCGGTATATAGAATAGTGGCTCAATCCCCTATATATAGTACTCCTAGAAATCCTACCTATCTAAGGTATAATTACAATTATTATAAAAAATATGATTGCTACTAATCTAAGGTCTTCTTGATTTCCCCTTGTGGAAAAGATAGGTGAAAATGAGGGAATCCAAGAAAGTGATATAAATATAGATGAACAAGGGTTCAACACATGATTGAAAGAAGACAAGAGAAGATAAGCAATGGTTAATTGGAAAAGACAACTGGAGATGAGTAAGAGTTCATAGAATATGATTCCGAAGTTTTTGACTAAAACACTGGATATAATTGTGAATGTTGATTCTAATCATATTCGTATACATATAAACTGGGAGTTCATATAAGGAGTTCGACATCTAAATTTATATTTTCCAAACTGTTACTACGAATCTATATTTATATATCTCAAAAGTTTTGTAATTTTTATTTTTTCCATTGCTCAACGTTCAATTTGAAAGACTAAAGAACAATTTCTATTTAGATGGGAAAATCACATGTACATACACATTGTGAGAGATCATAATTTATTGGACTTGCCACATCAGTAAAATGAGGATAACATGACAAATTTACCCTTAATGACATTGACATACCGGTCGGGAAGTAATTGACACCTTTTTCTTTCAACTAAAATTCTAGATTTTGAAAATAAAAATTCATTTCTATATAAGACTTTTGTTGCAGGATAATATGAATTATTGGATTTTGTCTAAAATAAAGTTCAACAGTTGATAATAACCAGAAAACAATGGGCTACAAACGCACAAAACGACTCTATTCATTGGATTCTCTTTTAATTACAAACACTATCCTGATTAGCAATATCTAGTTTCAGATTACATCTTGACTCCTTTTGACCTAAAACTTAATTGCTCATGGATTCTTCTAACTTAAAGACAAATAACCAGATAAATAAAGTAAAAGCAAATTAAAAATGTTGCTTTCCAACCTGTGAACACTGTTTAATGTCTCTCTTCACATGAAAATCAGGTTAGAACTAGAAACACTTCAAGCCTTTGTAACCAGAAACGAGCTAGCTAGACAATTCAGGCCAGTGCTTATGGATGTGAACCATTCTATCAATATCACACCCTCTTCAAACACTTCTCCAGAAATGCGCGGTTTCATGTCGACGGGCTCTTTCGAGCTACCCAATTACTACTCTCATCAGTCTAGCAGAGAGGTGAAGCTAATTGCCATCCATTTTCTGTTAGACTAGAGATTGCATTCAAATAAATCAAGTATATTTTCCTTCCAGTTTCTTATGCTAGATACCATGTGTTCTTTGCTTTCTTTTGTTTTTTTTTTCTTGCTAATAATTAAGTAGGAGGCCGATCAAGAGGCTAAGCAATCCAGTTTTATGGAACTTCAGAAGGAAGAGATAGAGATATTCTGGAATCAGCAACTGTTTGAAATTCAAAACACAACAGGTTTGTTTTTTCTCTTGGTCCAAATTTTGATTTTTCTTCTGTCTTTGGTCATTGCTACAGTTTTAAGCTAGTGCCCCAAAATAAAAACAAAAACACATAAAAGTGAAAAAAAAGAAAAAAAAGAAAAAAAGAGGGGATAGGACCCAAACTGTACTTTTATTGTACTTTTGAGTTAAAAGCATTACATATGATTTCTGTTTATTTATGTCAAAGTGTACTTGTTTCAATTTTTTCTATCATTATTTGAAAGCACCGTTAGCGCTAGCACACGTTAGAGCAAGTCCAGCGCAGGACTTGGCCCGGGGGAAAGGCTGCCCGACGCAGCCCGAGTTTGCTCCAGCGCAGGGCTCGTAGCCCAGTTTGGTGGCGGGTCCCACGAGCCCGAGGAAGCCCAAGGGCAAGTCTTGCCCGGGCTGAAGCCCGAGTTGGCTGACGTGTGCGCTGGCGTTAGCGTGACGCCAGCGCTGACGTCACCACCTGACAGCTCCAACGGGGGGGAGCCGGAGGAAGCCGAGGGCCAAGGCTTGCCCGGGCTGAAGCCCGAGTTGGTGACGCCAGCGCTGACGTCAGCCACTGACAGCTCCAACGGGCGGGTGCCACGTGGCGCGACGGGGACTCTCCGATGGATTTTTTCCACAAATCCGACGGTCCTCGTTTTTTTGGCTAAAAAAATTGCAAAAAAAATCGAAAAAAATCTGAATTTTTTTTAAAAAATATCCAAAAATTCGGTATTTTTTCTCTATAAATACCTAACCATTTTATTTACTTTCCACACTAAAATCTTCATACAATTTCTTCTCCATCCCATATTTTTTACTCTTTACTCACATTATTCTAACATTTGACACGTGGCACAATTTTAAAAGGAATTTTCTTTGAATAATTTTTATTAAAATCTAAAATACTGAAAATTAACTACGAAACTTTAAATACCGTTTTGGAAGGCCAAACGACCTCAAAATGCCAAAATCCATCATACATCACAGCAAAACAGTGAGTTTGACTCGTGGCGTCGTTCCCTTTCCGAAATGGTATTTTGCGTCCTAATCGGAGCTCGGACGACAAATCTGCAAATTCCCACTACGTTCTTTTTCTAGCTCAAGCGATAAAATCTGACATTTGTTCTACATCAGACGTGGCACAATTTTAGAGGGTGAAAATCTTATCCGAAAATTTAATTACAAAAGATTATCAAAATTAATGGTTTAAACTATAAAAAAATAGAAAATAAAGTACAATGAATAGTAATTGCCTTAGACTTGCCCTAGACTTTGCCCTTGTGGGTGGAACCACAAATGCAAAGGCTGACACTATTCACGTGAATAGTAACAGCCCTTGCTAGTTGTTAGCCATCATTTTTTTTTTCAATTTTTTGAATTTTTTTTAGATGTTCCAAGTCTTTTGTTTCTTTAAGAAGACCTACATTACGAAAGGGTTATATATATATATAGAGACGGACCCGGAATTTTAAAATGAGCTGGGCTAAATTTATCTTATGTAAGCACTGGAGAGTGGAACATAAAGGTTCAATTACTACAGCATACCAATTCATTTATTTATTTATTTTTCACTTAAAGGGATTATGGTGAGGTCTATCAGTAAAAGGAAAATTAACATTAGGTTGTCCATAATAAAATAAAATAAATATAAACATAAATAAAAAGAAGTTGGTAGTATGCTAAAAAAGTAAGGACAATACAGAAATACTTTTCATTTTAGAAAGAACTTTACAGAGATGTCCTACATAAAAATATCCAGGAATAATCGAAGAGAATTAATCAATTCATTAGTTTGTCTTATCTTCTTTTCCTTCATTGTATTGTTGGATAAGCGATGTCATGATTGTCATTAGTAGGCATGGGTGGGTTAAATTAAATTTTTGGCTGATAAAATAACAACTCACCGGACTATAGCCCATGTTAGTCCCTTCTAGGGACCGTCCGAAGCTATTCTTTAAATTTTTATGTAGTGTAACTAATGATCACGTACTTCTTTATAATGTATGATACAGTGGCAAAAGCACATCACGAACTCCCTCTCGCCAGGGTCAAAAGAGTCATGAAATCTGATGGACAAGTCAAGGTAGATCTGCATATTCATCAATTGATGATATGCAAAACCCTTTCTATAACTTATTTATTTTTTATCTATTAATTGGAGAGTAATGTTTCAAAAAGATTAACTTGAAAATGTGTTAATTTTCTTTGCAGAAGGTGAGCTCGGAGACTCCGGTTTTGTTTTCGAAAGCATGTGAGCTTTTCATTATGGAGCTGACACTTCGTTCATGGCTACACACTGAAAGAAGCAATAGACGTAAGTTGCAGCATTGTGACACTGCCAGGGCAATTATGCAGGATGAGCTGCTTCACTTTTTAGTTCATGCTGTTCCATTCGACCATGCTCATTGCCATAAGGTGTTTCTTCTTAAATATTTGCTTGTCTATTATTTTCTTAGTTTGCACGCACAACACCTTTATTAAGTGAAACTCACCGAAGAACATATATAACGAGTATATTTTTGGGCTTATAACTTTAATAGTAGAGCATTTATCTCACATCTATGACTACATTTGACTCTTCATCGTCCTCCTTTCCTCATAAATAGAAGGATAATTCAATCATATTTAGTATGTGTATATGATTAAACTTGGAAAGGCAATATGAAAATTATAATTATTTCTCAGGAAGAGGAGATTGGAAAAATTTCTCAAAACGTTGATTCTCGTACTACTGGAGCATTGCGTCTTCGTGAGACAAACCCACTCGGTGGGGTGAGTGTTTAAGAAACTCGATTACAACATCCTCTCGCCTTTTTCTCTATGCTAAGTAGATCTATGCACCCCATACACTGTTTGTGTGGGTTTTTTTCTAAAATTTAACAAGTGTCAAAATCTCATTTGTTGTCCCATCGAGTTTTTGTTTGTATATAGATTTTTTGACTGATTTTATCGATTAGGGTATGGGCGAAATGAATCAAGTGCTTCAGCAATACATGATTGACCCATCAATGTCCTCGGCCGAACTCCATCGTGACTATTTTGAAGGTGACAAATTGCACTTTCTTCTCTTTCTCCTCCATCTTATATACATGCAAAGTAACCACGATGAATTTATTTATTTTTCTTCTGAATAATTTTATAAACAATGCAGATGATGAATGATTGAATTCCGTTTCTGCTAGCGGAATTATAGCTGGATAGGAAATTTTATTTTAATTTAATTCCTAGATTTATGAGTGGAGTTTGTTATTGTATGAGGGGGTGCAGCAAAGTGAAGGTGTTGAATTCCATATGGTGGAGTTTGTTATTGTATGAGGGGCTTCTTGTTAAATTTCCTTGAGCTTTATCTGGATGTTTATGATAACAGAGAAAAGAAGCTAGGATTTCGGGAAGAAGAAGAGGAAGAAGATGAAGATTTGAAAAGTAGAATTGAAGCTTAGAAAAAGACCGTATTTCAGTTTCTGTACTGAGTTTTCTTAATGATCAAGCTAAGCAGTCTAACTAATCCAGCTAACCTCACTTTAACCAACTTAACCAAAAGCCCGTGAGCTGAACCTGACTGACTAACTACCTTCTTAACTAATTTTATAGTTATCATTTTCCCCCACCCAGCCGAGTTCCTCAGTCGAAGGTGAAGACAATGTTGCAGAAAAATAGGACTGTGCAAGTTAGGAGTGGGCATTTGAACTAGTGAATTGGTGAACAGAGTATTAAAAAAAAACCTAAAACAATCCGTGTTGACTAAGAAAGTCAACCTAGGCTCAAAAACCGAATCAAACCACTTTGGATCGGTTCCCATCTAGGTTATTAATTCTCTTGGAAAATGGTATAAAATATATAAATATCTTAGTCCAGTTAATACCCAAGTACTTTAGTATCAATTTATACCCAACTAAAATACTCTGGCCCATTTTCTTTTTCTTTTCAATGAAGCATATTCGTTCTTGCGCTTCTGCGTTTCTCTATTTTCAACCCATTTCTTTCTATTTCTCTTCCTATTTATATATTCACCCATTTCTCTCTTATTTTATCTCTTCTACCTCTTTCTCTCTTATTTTATCAATTGTACCTATTTTTCTATACATTTTATTTCTCTCTTCTTCACATATTTATATTCATATCATTCCAAACTAGAAATTGGGCCAAACTGAACCGGAACCGCATAGGTTCAGTTTGATTTGATTCTTCTAGACACTTTCTATAAAAATCAAACCGAACTGGACCGTGTGTAAGTTCTCTAGTTTTGAATCCAATTTGAGGGGAAAATCGGACTCTGCCCACCCCTAGTGCAAGCCTTTTGAAACACATCAGCTAGTTGTTCTTTCTTAGGAATGTACTGCACAAACAAGTCTTTTGTTTGCACCTTTTCCCTCACAAAGTGGAAATCAATATCCATATGCTTGATTCTTGAGTGATAAACAAGATTGAGCTTAAAGCCAGAGCTTGCAAGTTATCACAGTACATAACAAGTGGGCTAGGAAGATAAATCTGTAAATCCAGTAAGACCTTACGAATCCATGAAATATTAGCTGTTGTATTGGGCAAGGCCCTGTATTCAGCTTTGAACTTCTAAAAACTGACCCCTGCTTTTTGACTGCCATGAAATTGGATTGCTTCCCAAAAATACCACAAATCCAGTTGTAGACCTTCTATTGTTCATGTCTCCTACCTAGTCTGCATCATTGTAGGCACTAAGCTGCCAAAGACCATTTGTAAAACTGATGCCATACTCTAATGTACCTTGAACATATATGAGAATACGTTTGACAAAAAGGTAATGAACTTTAGTGGGAGTGGTCATGTACTGACACACAATATTCACTGCATAAGTTAAATCTAGTTTTGTGAATGTCATGTACAACAATGCTCCCACTATACTTCAAAACATGGTGGGATCAAACAAAGTTTCCCCA